AGTTTGATTAATTCTTTAACAATGTGAGTATTGATTACTGACGCTGGCTGATCAGGATCATTATAAGCTTTTTTTGTTACTCAGTTTTCACCTTTTGTCTGCTTGCAGGACGTGGTGCTTGTTTTCTCCGGCTGCGCCTCCCCTCTCACTGCAGCCTGGATCTTCTGCGCCACGTACCTGCAGGCTGGGACAAGAACAACATGGGAACCGATCAGTGGAAGCTCTGTAATGGAGTCCAGCACTGAGCTTCAGTCAGGTCATAATTGATCAGTATTGATTAGTCCTGTAAACCTGTCACCTTTTAGAAATTCCCTATTTTGAGATTGATTAAAATGAGAAAGCTAGTTATGTAGCCTTTACTACTTTAACCCTTTTAATTTCCCATACCCGCGAATTAGCATCTGCTTTTAAACTCTATGATACATCAGATTGCTGTTTTCAGCCACTATCAAATAAACCTTAAATAAATCAATAAACAAACATTAGCTAGCTAACTTAGGATGTGACTATACATTGCTTTTTTTTCTTTTCAACATAGACGAGCCTATCGTATCTAAGCGTGGGAAAAAGCACCCACTGCATTTGCAAATAAAATATATGCGTGCACTCATTCACGGTAGATGACAGTAATTCATCTGTTCCCCTCCTGATTGTCACGATATTTATTAAAATGACGGATCCTATTTTAATCTCTCCGTTCGTATGCAAACCACAAACAAACTAAAATAAAGCAAGGCTGCATACCGCACTCTTGTTCCAGCCTTTCTTTACACGTTTGCCTTTTTACATATTCAAATTTAACAAAATGCCCGCACGGATTCAGAGGCTTTTTTTTTCTCCATTACCTCAAAATGTGTGATTAGTATTCACACTGAGGAGGCTTTAATCTGGAAATGAGCTGACCTCAAATAGAATATATTCACTATCAGGGATTTCAAACTCCTGCAACACCAAAAATATAATCTGAGAATTTATTCTAGTTTTGAACTTCATATACAATTAAAATAAAAACACAAATCTATTTTTAAAAATGTGTGCAGACTAAGCTGAAGAGAGCCGGTTTCAGGGCTGTAAACAATAAAGATGATATAAATTGATGTAAAAGGCAAAAGCTAACAGGTGCAGTTGTTTTATTTATGTCACACATCTCTGCCAAATGATAATGAAACTGGATCATCTGACGGACTTCATGTCCCACAATGCCGTCTGCTCCAACATGGCCTCATTTAATAAAACGCGTCCTCATTAGTCCTCATGTGAATTTCTAGCTTCAAGTAAAAATCCAAAACATTTGATTCTTTATTAACGAGGCAGAATGTATATGAATCTTTGATTATTTCTTTCATGGTAGAATATGTAATATTTATGACTATTATTTTGAAACACACATAATCTGATCTGAAGTTTAATGACGCCGTCCTCTAACTGACCTCCGACCTGCTGTGCAGAACTCAACTCCTCACAGGGATGAAGGAGGTTCAGGGGTTAGAGAAATGTGCTGTATCGGGCAGTAAAGTATTAAAAGAATAACCTTGAGAAGGAAAACAATGTGGGGTTGCCTTGTGGAGCGAGGACGGACTGACTACAGTTTACTAAAGCAAGTAGAATTTATAAATAAAATTATTAATGAAGTAGAATTGACTTTATTTTATGGAAAATTCATCTATTAGAAAGTAAAAATGATCATTAAAAGGCTTGAATGTAAACATTACAGTATTTCTTCCCTGAGAAATAATACTTTATGTTTATGTGGTCAGTATTTGGACATTTTAATTAATTTCCAGGTGTTTCCAAGTTTTCCAGGATGCTTGGGAATCCTGTTACACTGATTAAAAAACATTTATCTAATGACAACATAATTATACAAGATAATCTGTCAATTAACAAACAAATCCATGTAAAAAATATGTATTTTTACTGTTGTCACTAATTTTACATAATTTAAAAATATTAACAGTGTTTATGTATTAAAAACATTAAAATAATGTGAAAATAAAGGACATTTTCTTTGAATAAGCAGTAATTTTATGATTATTTAGTTGTTTTTTTTTCATTTTTAATGTTATGTTACATTAGACATGCAAACTCAGGCTATTTGTGTTTGCATTTATTTAAAAAAATACTAATAAAAGAGTAAAATAAACAGATTAAATTACAGTTGTTTTTTTTCTGAAAGTGGACGTTTTTATGGATATATGGTCACTATGGATAGTCAAGTCAAAAAAACAGACAGTTTATTTATTTTAAATATTATTTTATTGTTTGTTTAGTATCCTGTTTCGTCTGTTTAAATAAGTAAATATATATAATAAAAGGACCGTAAACTTAAACTAGGTTAAAGTTTCTTTATAAAACACAGCGATATTTCATGGAAAAACCTTTATTTATTTAACATTTTAAAGGAATTTATACAGAATAAAGTCCTTTTTTAATATTACAGACTGTAAATTGTGCTTAAAACCAACATTACAGCATTAATATGTTTGTTTTTATATCGCAAAACTGTGAGTGTGATACTATGTTTTGATGGTAAAAACCTGAATTTATACAGTAAAATATGGATTAAAACTCAAATATTTACCTTAATAGTAGTGTATATATTTCTTTTTTTATGTTTTCTTTTACCATTATTACTATAAAGTATATTCTGTATTTTTAAATCTGACTCATGGGATGTGAATAACTCTTGGCAGAGATCTCGGGCTGCACTTCCTGGTAGAAAAATGCTGAGTCACTCTAACAGTCAGCTGTTTTTTCTTCACAAACAAACTTTTGGAAACATGACTTTAAAATAAAAACAAACAAAAAAGGCTTTCAGGTTTTTATATTTGGTTTTAGTTTAGGTTAATAATGGAGTCTCAGAAGTGTTACAGTCTAAAAACTTCAGTCTTTACTTTATCCGATCAGTGTCATTATTATTGATTAAGAACACAGCCGATCGAGGACTCACCATTGATGATCAATCACACCATTTTCTCTCAGAAGTGTTTTCAGCTCAGATCAGAAGCTTTGAAGCCTCAGCGGTGAATCAGGAGTGTCTGTGTTTGCTCTCAGCTGTCGTCTGACACTGGAGCTCTTCCTCAATAACAAGTTAAACCCTCCTCTGACAACCCCGCCCCCACCCCCTCTGCCCGGGAGGGGGGGGTCCTGTAGAGCCGGTCCTCCCTGTTTCTGTTGGTCCATCTGCAGTTTCTGTGGTTCCTGTTGGACTGGATTGGTTAATGTTTGTCTGTGCTCCATTTGCACTGTTTTATAATTTTATTCTTAGTGTTAAGGTTCTTAATTTCAGTTGAATGTAAGTTTAATGTATGTAATGTATGTTTTGTATCTGGATAAATAAAGTATCTATCTATCTAAAAATCAGATTTTAAAGCTGTAATGTGCAACATTTACTATTTAAAATCTCTATAAACTTACATTATCAGTCTGTTAACATTGTATCATAACCTGGGACCTGTTAGCCACATGTTTACCATCCACTCTTTAGATCTTGGTGCTTTTTAACT